TGAAGACTGGTGAACCAACATCGAACTGGGGCGTTCAGTGCTCACTACAAGAAGACTGGTAAACCGACATCGAACTGGGGTGTTCAGTGCTCACTACAAGAAGACTGGTAAACTGACATCGAACTGGGGTGTTCAGTGCTCACTACAAGAAGACTGGTATACCGGGAGTGAAATAGGGCAAGCAGTGCTCACTACAAAAAGACTTGTGAACCGCCAATGACCTCGGAGGAGCAGTACTCATTACAAGAAGACTTGTGTACAGGCAATGAACTGGGGCAAGCAGTGCTCACAAGATGAAGACTTGTGAACCGCCAATTACCTTGGACGAGCAGTACTCACTACAAGAAGACTGGTGAACCTACATCGAACTGAGGCCGGCAGTGTTTACTACAAGAAGACTAGTGAACCAGCAATACACTGGAGCGAGCAGTGCTCACTACATGAAGACTGGTGAACGAACATCAAACTGGGGCGAGCGGTGCTTACTTCAAGAAGATTGGTGAACGAACATCGACCTGGGGCGAGCGGTGCTCACTACAAGAAGACTAATGAACCAGCAATACACTGGAGCGAGCAGTGCTCACTACAAGAAGACTAGTGAACGAGCATCAAACTAGGGCGAGCGGTGCTCACTACAAGAAGACTGGTGAACCAACATAAAAATGGGGCGAGCGATGCTCACTACAAGAAGACTAGTTAACGAACATCAAACTGGGGCGAGCAGTGCTTACTACAAGAAGGCTGGTAAACCAGCAATGAACTGGGTCGGGCAGTGCTCACTACAAGAAGACTAGTGAATGAACATCGAACCAAGGCGAGCGGTGCTTACTACAAAAAGGTTGGTAAACAAGCAATAAACTGGGTCGGGCAGTGCTCACTACAAGAAGACTAGTGAACGAACATCGAAACGAGGCGAGCGATGCTCAGAGATGTGTTATTACAGAACAATGCTTAAAATACCCTGGACAGCTTAAAAAAAAGCAATCAAGAAGTTGATAGAGGCGGGAGCCCGAAGACAACTCCTCACAGACATCAGAAGGAGACAGCCATCATTTTTCGGCCATGTTATAAGATGAGGGAAAATGGAACATGTGGTGAGCACTGGAAAGATTTGTGGAAGGAGCGATAGAGGAAGAGAAGATTCTTGACAGTCTTGTTGCATGGCATGGAGGTGTGTCAGCACACGAACTAATACATGCTGCAGGAGATCGCAGATTGTGGCGAGGCATAATCGCCCATACCAATCGGCAAAGCACCTGATGATGATAATTCACTACTCGTATTCGGCCGAATAGTTGGTCCAGCTATTCATATTCGGCCGAATAGTGAAAATCACTATTCAGTACAGCCCTAGTGATTTGTAGTGATGTTGGATTTGTACAATTCTTGAAAACATTCTTTCTATCTCTTTTGTGGGGTGTAGCTATTTCATTTCTGTAAAAAAATTTTTTGCAGTTATCTTCCCTTGTAGATTCCGGGGCCCCATAGTTGGGGGAAAAAGAATAGACATTGCCTCCCTAACATGTCACATGAGTAATCAGGGATTTTCTTCAAAGTGCTCTGCTTAAGAGGCCAGGAACCAACAGTGTGCATAGAGATAAGCCAGAAAACAGATGTGCATGCAGAAGTCAGGTTCTGGAACAAGACTAAAGTCCAGAATTGGATGAGCAGCCAGAACTGCTTCTTTTGTTTGTCTGAAGTAAATATCTATATCTCCAGTGTTGTCTGTAGCATGAACTTCACTGTCTTTTGTAATTCACTTAGCGGCCTGTAAAATTTTACATCTGCCGGAGAGGCAGGGAACAAGAGGCCACAGTCATCCTAGAGATAGGAATGATGTCTTCCTTCGAAGTAGGAGTACATCTGCCTGAGAGGCTGCGAACAAGAACTGCACACAAATAAGCCAGTTAACCGGATTTACTCGCAAAACTCAGGTCCTGGCACGAAGTATAAGTGGATGAACAACCAGGACTTTCTGCCGAAATTCACAGCGGGTGACAGGCAACTATGGGATGGAATAATCTGGAAGCTCTTAAACAAGATAGACAACTGTGGGATGGAATAATTTGGAAGCTATGATAAACAGCAGGTAACTCTCTTTTTTTCTTCAGCATTCTGAGCCCTTGAGGTTCATTGCTGCAGATATTACCCGCCTCCATTCATCTCTCTGTTGGTCTTCTATTTCCAGTTCGTGGCACTAAGGTTTTATAGGTCTGTCTGGACATTACCTCTCGATCCTCTTCTTGGTCTGCCTCGTGATCTAGGACCATTCATCTCCTTTGTTTATACAGTTTTTACTTCTCTGTCATTTGACATTCTTTCAGTATGCCCTGCTATTTCAGTCTATTAGCTCTCATGATGCCAGTGATCAGTGGTGATTTAAACAGATTATAAATTTTGTTGTTACTTCTCACTCTCCATTCTCAGCTGTTTGCATCTTTGATAGGTCCAAAGATTCGTCGTAAGACTGTTTTTGAAAATTTGCTGTAAAACTTCATCTCTTTTAGTTGTGCTCCAAGTTTCAGAGCCATATAAACTACTGATCTGATCAACGTTTTTATATATTTTGATATTGGTGTTGCGAGATAGAGACTGATTTGTAACAGATGTTGAAGGGCATAGTATACTTTATTTCCAGATTGTATTTTGTAGCCATTAAAGGTACACTGTAATACGAGTATTAAGATTTAAGATTTTTGTCTTTTGATTTTGTAAGTGTTGTTAAGTTGTGGGGTGTTATTTGTATTCCCTGCTAAATACCAACCTTGGCTCACAGTATGTGGTAATGCTTACAGATGCTAAATCAGTACTTGAAGCACTCCAGTCTAGGAAACTACCAGAATTGCAAACACTGCTGACACAACTCAGCGTTCAGCGAAGAGTCGTAATGCAGTGGATACCGTCTCATTGTGGAGTGCCTGGAAATGAGAAAGCTGATCAACTGGCAGGGGAAGGTGCGAAAAAAGAGCAGCCAGATGTACCAGTCACATACCACCAAAAGAAAAGAATCATTAAATCGATCAGGAAAACCACCAGCCCCAGCACAAGACGGACTATTTTATTATGGACAGACCAGAACAAGTCATTATCTTCCGCCTCAGAACAGGGCACAACCGATTACGTAACCACATGTACACAAAATTCAAGATAGGTGTATCAGCCATGTGCACCTGTGGAAATGTGCCCCAGACCGCAGAGCATGTACTCCAGGACTGCACCGATTTTGACACATTAAGGCAAACCTTTTGGCCAGAAAGAACAACAGTGGAACGTAAACTCTATGGACCACTGAATGAACTAACAACGACAGAGAAATTTATACAAGAGACAAAACTGCTGATATAGATAACTTATTTCAGGCGAACGAAAGAAGAAGAATTTGTATTCCATGTATACCCTGGAATTGTCTTATTTATACTAAGGTATAGTGTTATTTGTATATTAGTGTCATGCTGTTCTGTGTGATTTATTTAGATCATCTAGACGTGACAGAAACACAAGGTTGTAAGGGAACCTTTAATGTGGAAGAAAACTGTTTTCTGCAGGTACACAAGCCTTGCTGGTCATTTCTCATCATCTTCCCCATGTCTTTTTCACATTCTGTTTTATAGCCCCCCCCCCCCCCCCCAAAAAAAAACCTGAGACAATTTTTGTGTTGTCCAGCAGTCTATTTTCTCTAGGGGTTTTAAGAATTTATTTGGTTGCTTTCTGTTTAATAATACAAAATCAGAGACTTTAATGCTCTTGTCTTGTCTACTGTTAATTTATGTATCAGAGGCAATGACTGCTACAAAGTAGAATACCTCTTTTCAACCCCATAGGAAATATTTCCACAGTTCTTTAGTGAACTTTTGTTGGAAATGTTAGTTTCTTTCAAATCAGCTCTTTGTTTAAAATGAGTTAAGGACCCTTATCATGCCATTGGCATATGATCCTTCCTTTCTCCAATAAAAAAAAAGTGTGTTCTATCCATTCCTATTGCATGCAGCTCACCCCTTGTCCTCCCTATCTTTTTTAACTCGACTCTCTGGTTCCCTTTTTCATGTATTTTTCCCCCTTTATTTCTATGTCCCTGCGAGTTTCAGTGAATGGACTTTATGATGTTCACCCAGTTAGATTGCTCTCAGGTTTTCTCAACTAATGTTCTATGAAAAGCCCAAATGATACCAGTCTTATGTTTTTACAGACAAATCAGCACTTGATGAGTGAGATGGTTAACATGACACTGACTGTCTTTACCTCCAGTGACTATTCCTGATACCTTTTCAGACTATTTTATGCTAGGTTGACCTTGGAACTAATGCAGTTTTTTTTTTTGGGGGGGGGGGGGGGGGGGGCGCAAATATACCTGATGCAGATATGAACCCAAAATCTTATCTGAAACATTAAAGAGGCCTGAGACCCGGTTTATGGATAGGCAACACTGTAAACGAGTAGAAGATGATCAGTGTGAGACCTGATCCTTATGTCAGCGATTACAATACATGAGATATAAAATGGGCAGTTTCCATTTTTTTGGGGCCCTACTCTTTGCTAGCAGTGTCAAATATGGACAATAAATAGGGAACTATAACAGCAGAACATCTAGGATAAGGTGAGGGAAGACCAAGAAAGAGAGGAATAAAAAAGTGTAGCTGAAATTTGCAAAAAGACAAATCCATCACCTGAGCCACGTGAGAAGCGCAAGACAGAAAACCACGACAAGGGTACAGCTTGGTATCAGCGAGACGACAAAAGAAAGAAGATATATAATCATGAGTTTCTGTTACATATGTACAATACAATGTTGACCTATGTGGTCACACTGAAATAAATACATTTCAAGGAATGCACATCGCCTAAAGAAAGAAAATCCTAATAATCTCACCAAAATTATGGTCCTTGTATTATACAGATGTGACAGAAAAATTAATGACAACTACATAAATGCAATTATATAATAATAAAAACAAACAATGGTAATTCTTTTGGTTTATTACAGAGAAAATTCGCCTGCCTGCTTATCTTGTAGGCCTCTGCTGGTGTGCCACACTAGAGAAGACTTCTAAATGAACTCGGTAGCATTCTAATGCACCAAGCAGGGCAAAGTATTCGCTGCATAGCTGAAACAATATAGAACATCATTCTAGTGCTTCATAATACAATAACTAGATATAAATAAACTGAGCCTGGCTCCCAGTCAGTCCAGTTAAAAATGGGCATCATATAAAGTCTGGGAAAGGAGGCAGTTGGCATGATGGTGACATCAGCAGCCATCAAGTGCAGACTAGTCTATACAAATATGCGCCACTGATGCAAAAAACCAGTCACTTACATTTAGAACTTAATAAAAATTACATACACTTAATTAATAATTCACCATAGTGTGTTCAAGAGAGGTAAACAAAGATCCTCTTTATTTCTTCTATTTGGTAGGATTGTAGAATTTCAGAATATAATAAACAGCACAGGAGAACTAGAAATTACTGAAATGTTATCAAAGGAAATATCTTGGTATTTTAATGAAAAACAACAGAATGTGTGGGTAAATGGCATGGGACAAGAACCAGTTCATGATCATCATCTATATATATAAAAATCAATGTTTGTGTGTTTGTTTGCCCCCTATAGACTCGGAAACTACTGAACCGATTTAGCTGAAATTTTCAGGATATGTTTGTTTTGATACTGGATTTTGAACCATCGTGGTTTGAAATTCAACCTGTCACTGTTAGAGATAGGTGACCACAATTTATGCCATAATATTCGCAACTAATATTTATAACTAGTGATTTCTAATTATAGCCACATTAGTAATTGTGCATGCGCCGCCGTAGTCAGAACGCAAGGCTTCCGCCATTCGCCGGCGAGTTACGTGCAGCCAACGCCTTAATACATAGAGTAGGTCAAGGTACCGCAAACAAGACTATCTCTATATTTGCCACAATAACCATATTAAACACGATTTCTATTTTCTGTTTTTTTTCAAACAACCTTCGATGGGGGGGGGGCAATCACGGACTATCTCGACGTCGGCGCAGACATTGACTGCGTCATTAACTTCATTAACCGTGTTAGACACGTGCGATTTCTATTGTTGTGCCGTTTTATTAATATATCTGGAGTATCGGTCTACGGGAAAACAATTGCATGCGGTTTTGAATTGTGTTTTAACCAGGACACATTAGTAGGGACACACATCTCTAATAATTAAGTTCTCTTTTCGTTTATCCGATTATGTGGCTGCTTGGTTGAATGGTTAGAACACTGGATTCCTGAGCGGGAGACCTGGGTTCGAATCCGCAGTAGTTAATTTTTTTTTACCCCGGACTAAAATAATATCCTTATCTGCTCTGTCGTGGTGACAGCACTAGCCATATTGCCTTAATATTTAAAAAAAAAAAAAAAAGACAAGTAAATGGGTAAACCATTTGATAATTAAATTGACCATTTTGCATACTTATGATTGCATTTTTAAACTTTCCGATTGCATGGTTACGCTGAAATTTTATAGATTTTCATTTAGATTTAGTTATTTCGTCTGCATTGTAATTTTAAGCTGTGCTGTTTACCATGGCGTTCATTTCCTAATTATGGTGTTTTTTTCCTGTCTTCATTTGCTTTTCAAGTTTTTTTTTTTCTCCCAACTACTTCAATGAAGGAAAGAGTTGTCGGTGGGGGGGGGGGGGGGGGGGGGGGGGGGATGGGGGGGGTGGGGGGGGGGGGGGGGGGGGGGGGGGCAAACTATTTACTGAGAGAGCTTTAAGTCACAGTAACTGCTTTACCCACTTAAAGTAGCAGCAGCAGTAATAGTTGTGGTTGGGCTGTTACACCATAGTGCTCTCATGTGAAGACCGCCGGTAAGGTTATGGCGTTCTTCTGTCGGCAAGTGAAATTATACATCTTAACCTGACCAGTCTGTGGCGACAGCACTAGCCATGCGGAACCAAATCTTCTGGCTCACGACTCTCTGTCTACTCTGATGGTAACACAGATAGCAGTGACATTATTTTAGTAGTTGTACTGGTACTTGAAGGATGATGTGGTAAATATTACACTAGCCCCATTCACTACCTATTACAATTCCTGCTCCCCATTTTAGTCCAGATGGACAGGGATGTCAATGTCAGTTACAGCAACAACAAAATATCGCCAGGTAATGATTTTCAAATACTTTGAAGAGGGAGAGAGCAGTAGTCGGTGGAAGAGGGGAGGGGGGTAATGACTTAAATTTAAGAGAACTTAAAGAGCTTTACACATGATTTTCAAGTTCTCATTACCTAATTTGTTTATATTTTACTAACGCTACCTCCGCTTTTCTATTTTTTACGACTTACTTTGTTATTTACAAGTACAGTTGTAGCTTTACTTCCGTCTCCTATAAAAATACAAACAGCTTTAGCATGTGATAACCAAATAACCACTTTTGTTACCGTGCTAATAGCACCATTTAAACGACCACTAATATAAAGACACAATTATATCGTGCGTGTTCTAAAGTTGGAAAACCAGACTATCTCTATATAAATGTGCAGAGAATGATTGCGACATTAACTATATTAGACAGGTGCGATTTCCATTGTCTTTCTTTTCCAAAAACCTTTGATGAGGGAGAGGGTAGTAGGTGGATTTAGTTGTGGGGTGGGGTGGGGATCAAAGACTATCTCAAATTACGCCACAGCAACGCGTGGCCGGGTACAGCTAGAAAATTATCAATTCTGTCATTAAGCGTTGTGGGGAAGAACAGTTTGTGATCTATTGCTTGGTGGGCAGCAGTGACTACTGTCATACCTTGTCGATGTAGAAGCTCTGGAATGGTCATCAGTCCATTTTCTCCTAGGGCGACCTCTTCCTTTCATATCAGATCTTTTCACGTGTAGCGCCTGTGTTGGTAGCTGTTATGGATGCATTCTTACTAGATGACTGAACCATCTAATCTTCTGTTTCTCAATGATTTCGCTGCTTGGTGTTGTTCCTACAGTCTGTCTGATTATATAATTTCTAACCTTTTCCCAGACGGTCAAGTTGGCAGCTTTTCTCAGGTATCTCATTTCATAAATGTTAATTTTACATAACCATTCTATCCTGACATAATCCATTTTTTATGGTAACAATCAGTAGAGGTACTTTCAGTGGCTAATGCATTGGTGGACTGAAAACTCTTGGTAATGCTAAATGTACCATAACACCAATTTAAAAAAAAAATACTCACTGTACTACTTGGAACAAGTTTTCCCAAGACTTTGTAAGATCTGAAAAGTGCAGTTCGTGTCCTTGAAAGGAAAACCTCAAGTATGTTAAGGAATTGGTGGAGGCTTTGCACTTGTTGCTCAAGTTGGGCAGTTACACCCTTGAACCTTTCCATCAACGTTTCCTGCTCTGATTGAAGCTGTTAAAATTATCAGAAAAAAAATAGCCATTTACAAAGATTTGAAAAACAAAGATTAAACAACATTAAAAGTCTATGTTTAAGCACCGGCGAGGAAATCAAAGTTGACATTTTGAGAGCATGCATCTTCCCTGAAGCAACATACAGATGTGAGTCATGGACTATCTCCCAGCCCTTAAGGAAGAAAATAGGGACTTTTAAGCTGACATGATATAGAAAGATTCTCAGAATACCATGGACAAAAGAAGAGAAGAAATTTTGACATTTTAAAAGATCTGAATTTCAAGGAAGATTGGCTAACTCTTTACAGACTTTTCAACACTTAAGTGGCTTTTGGAATCCACCCAGTTTAGATTTTTCGCCACTATAGTGGCGCATCATAGAGACACTCTATAATAATGTTTCGTTTGCTGGGAAAACGAATTTGTATGAACATGTTTTGAAAAACTAGAATTAGGAAAAAGTAGTCGTTTCGTTTTCAATGTTCAGCATGTGTTTGCACCACTTTCTGATTTGTTTTAAATCAATTATGTGATTTTTCTAGACCAAATAATAAGGGAAAAGGTCTAGAACTTTTTATACTACTCTGTCGTCGCTAAACCTCAGCCAGATAGTGACAATATCTTGATATTATGATTGGTAATGATTCTGCTAAACCTTTTGCCATTAATTTAGGTTAGGATGAAAAAGGAGCAAAATATTTAAAATGGATCATCTCTGTTTCGATGAGCTGTTTTCCAGATTTCGATTGTTGTGAAATCTGACATGTCATACAAAAATGGTCATAAGATCAAAACCATTTAAATTAATTGTTTGAAATAAGACAAGCTGATATGTAATTGAAGAGAGAAGGTGTGTGATTTCTTAGAAATGGATACCAGTTTTGTTGAACTAGTAAAAAGTAGGGAAACAAAATTGTTTGTGTAAATAATGTTCATATATGTCTAAAAGTTGGCTCTGTGGCTAAGTCGATGCAAACGCTTCGGAAAGCCGGGGTGCTGGGTTCAATCCCAGCTGCAGGCCATGCAGCTTGTCTCAGAACCTGAAATATTTTGGGCATACCAAACGCCATGGCGGATTTTAAAAAAATTTAACGATAGAATGGTACCAGGAATGAGGGGCACAGGCCAACCAGCACATAGATGGGCACAGAATATGACTCCTTGGATATGTAGGTGCACAATACAGGAGAGCTGGCGAGAGACAGAGTTTCTTTCAGGCAACTATGAAAAAAGCGACGTTCTGCAAAGAACCTCCTACATGACGATGGACAGGACTATGACTGACTTGCTAATATTACTCAACACACTATCAACTTCTTTTTAAAAGTCCATGCAGTCTGGTGTTGAAACACAGATGATCTTTCATGCCATGATGTCAAACTGTCCAGCATCTTTTCTCATGGTCTCCCTCAGTTTTTCTTTCTCATGATATGACCAAAGAATGTAGATTGCCTCTTTCTGATGTGGGCAATCAGAACTTTTCGTGAGTCTGCTTCTTTCAAGACATCTTCATTACTCTTTTTATCTGTCCAGAGTATTATCATCCTTCGTCTATAAAACCACATCTTTGCAGCCTCCAAACAGTTTTTCACCAATCTACCAACTGTCCGTTTCACTTTCCGTTACAATTTTATCCATCTTGCAGTTTCATTTTCAGGGATCAAAACTATATCGCAGGTTGTTAACAATATGCCCACTAACCGAGATTCCTGATGTATCGGTCTAATTATTATTTCACTGTAAATCACTATAAGCACAGTTAAATCTCATGGACTATTGTATTTCTGTGAATCAACATTTAAAAACACTGGCATTAGATAGAATATAAGAGAAAATCTGATTTGATACCTACCAATCCAATAGCACGACTGTTGCCTTTGACACTTTTTTCAAGCCCAGCCACCACGAGATTAAGCTGGCTGTTGGTGCTTGTTGCCTCTTTCAGCTGCAATTGTAAATCTTGAATTTTCCGTCGTAACTGGCCGGTTTCATCTAAATAAAGATAACATGGCAAAAAAGAGCAAAATTAGAAAGTAAATGAAAGAAAAAGAAAACACAACTGACACACTCAAATCTATTGACACATGGAAAATAATGACACACGCAACCTGAAACCTGTCAAATGTAACACACTGATGTCAGATTAAGAGATTATCTGTACCTGCAGTTTTACATAATTTAAATATATAGCCTCCTAAGCTATGCTAATTATTCAAATGTTTAGTAAGTAAAACTGACAGGTAGTATCTCAGAGAAGCATAAAAGAGCTCATGTTCCTCATAACTGGTTTACATAACTGACAATACTAAAAATGTCACCAGCAATTTGTCAACGCCTAACATGAGTGACAGCTATATAAAGAATGAATTATTATTGAAAATACAACAACAGCTTCCTATCTGCTTCAAAAGCCAGTGGAGAAAGTAGAGAACTGAACAACTATACATCTCTTACGAAAAGAGCAAACTGAGTCCCACTAAGAGCTATTTTCACTTCATATACTCAGATATACAGTATCCCTTCAGTATTTGGACATGTGTGGTCACTGACAGTTTTGATAATGAAGCTATTAAAAAAAAAAAGGAACTGACCAGACTCTATAGATTCGACTTTAACTAATACCTTGGCCATGTGCATGGGGCAGTACAATAGCACCACCCAATCCAATATTCTGATCACACTGGACGACAAATAATGGCAGAACAAAACTTTTGACATCACATCCAGGGAAGGGGGGTCGCTGGGTGATATTTTTTTTTACTGCAAAGTGGGTGGTAAGCGAAACAAGATTTTTGGAACTTTCACAGCTCTTATCATCTGAGTAATCGCAATCGCTTATTTCATTGAATAGCAAACAATGCGGAGGAAAAATCTTTATGCACCAGAAATTAAGTCAATTTTACCTTTTTTTTTTTTTAATTCTTGTTGTATATAAGTTGTTCCATGCTTGTGCTGATATTCCATAGATCTGATTTGAGATTTCATTCTGCTAATTTCAAGGTCACGCTGCTTAATTTTCAGCATCAGTTCCTTTATATCTATACGAAAGAAATTTCCATAAATAATTTAAGAAGTAAAAAATAGGATTGGGAAACTGAAACCATTTTAAATAATTTTCAAGATCATCACTGCATGCCGGGCATAACCAAAACTGCTCCGATTTTCTACTACCTTTGGGTAATGACTTGCATGCTAGAATTTAACACTGTACTACCCTTGTTTAATTCTCATTAATCAAGGAAATGTTTGTCCAGAGGATGGATGTCAGAAAAGTACCACCTCAACAAAGCCCAAACAAGTCGTAATTGCATTGTTTGGACTGACCAGACAATGTCACATTTCTGAAAAACACTGAGAAGAAGACAGGAGCAAACATCTTTGGACAGATTTTAGCAAAAATCAAACATGGTGAGTCTAACCATGTCCTAACAGGGTAAAGAGACCCCCAAAAATCGGAAAGAGGAAAAACACCAGAATTTTAGATTCTCAAAGTTTTAATGGAAGAGGACGCACCCCTAATATCCCCTCCTTCTCATCTAACTACTTTTGTATTTATGTATTTTAGTGTAAAGCACTGTTTAAAGGCAAATTTTCCAGACTGCCTGGCTAGAACAAGAAACACCAGATGACTGGCAAACAGCAATAATTTTATGGAAAAATAAAAAAAGTAAGAAAGAGTGCACTAATTACCGAGGAATATCACCATTTATTACAGAGGAATATCACTATTAAGCCACACAGGGAAAATGTTTGCCAAATTAATTGAAAGAAATTAAGATCATTAGTAGAAGAACAACTTTCAGATGCCCAGATGGGTTTCAGACGTAGCAGAAGCAGCACAGATGCAATATTTACATTTAAACAGTTGACAGAAAGAGCAATAGAGTATGACAAGACATGCAAAGTCGCATTTATAGATAAGGAAAAAGCATTTGACAGAGTGGATAGGAATATGTTGTGGAATTGTGTAAGAACTTATACACATACAAGTAAACGTTGCATAAAAGCAAAAGCAGGTACATCCTAACCTTTTAAAGTAAATTCAGGAGTAAGACAGAAATGTGTGCTCTTCCCTGCTTTTTATAACATACATCGACAATATATGCAAAGAAGAAGAGAGCAAAGAAGGATGATACCTCAGAATTGTTTTTTGCAGATGATCAGGTATTAATAGCTGAAACATAAGAGAGCTTACAGAACCATATAAACCAAATAAATACTAAGTGTGAGAAATATAAAATGAGGAAAAGCATCAATAAAATAGAGGCAACGGTAATAGGCAGACAAAAAGACACCTTATCAATTAAAGTAAATAACATATAAATAAAACAAACGAGTGAATTTAAATATCTAGGGTCATTTTTCACCTCAGATGGAAGAATGGATAAAGAAAACATACGATGTGTGAAAGCAAATCAGGTTAAAGGACAATTAACACCACTTCTGACACATCGAAAGAAAAGCAAATCTCATTAGAACGTTTTTTTTTGGGTAACATTGTGCTATCAGTACCAAACATTGACCTTCACTAAAACTAATGAGCATAAGATCGTAACAACAGAGATGAGATGCTTTAGGAGAGCTGCTGGTGTGACAAGAGAAAAAGAATGAAGAAATCAGAAGAAGACTAGGACTGAAACCAGTCATACAATTCATTAAGAAGCAACAAATGACATGGTCTGGTCATCTGACGAGAATGCTTTGTACCAACTGCCATGCTGAAGCAATATAATGAACAGAGCAAGAGGAAGACCACACGAGATGGAGCGACAACATCAGGAGCAACCTAACAGAAATTAACACCAACTTGTATAATGCATTGGAAAAAGCGCACAAACGATCCTTACATATCCCACCAACACCTCGATGAGGTAAATTGAGGAATGAAGAAGAAAAGGAACTGTTTAAATTATTTTATACGGCCATATCACTGTATAAATATGCTAATAAAAACAGGCAAAGGATTAATCATTCTCCCTTATTTTTTATATGAAACTAGCTGTAACTGGCCACGCTTCGCTGTAGCCCAGAATGGTAAAATGGAAAAGAAAGAAAATAGCTCTCAGCTAACAGTGTCTGTCATATCTCGTCCCGCCCCTCTCCCATCGACCCAGTCTGATCTCTCTCCCCGGAAGGATTGAAAAACCTTCCCTGGCAAAATTATTTAAAAAAAAAAAGATAGTTAAGAAACTTTAAAATAATGTTTTAAGCTGTCTCAGTTAATAGTGTCTGGCATCAACCCCCCCTCCCCGCACTAATCATTTCATCCTCTCTGAAGGATGGGAAAGTCATCATCTGACAAAATATTGTAACTAAATTAAGCTTGGCATCCGTGTCCCCCAGACTAAAATGGGTAGCATTAATTTGTACTGAGAAGTACATGTGCACAGTGTCACAGCTACCACATCACCCATGCAGTACTAGTCTACTGTACCACTACCACCACCACAACAACAATAACAGTCACTACACTATGTGTAGGTTGGTGTAGCCAGAGGTGTTAGCGCCGCATGCTGTTGCCACGGACTGTTTAGTTTAATTTTGCCCCCGACATAGAAAAAAAACTTAATCACCCAACCAGTGATGGAACCCACAATAAAAAGTACACTATACTAACAAATAGCGGAGAAAAATACCTCGCACCCGTCATCTTTCCCTCTCCGAAAGGAGATTTTTAACCTCAAACAAAGGGCGTATATCAAGCAAAAGTTTTTGCACCTAGACATCTTATATCAAATTTAACTTATACCAAAGCGAACATATATTGGGGTACCACAGTATCTTCACTGTATGGGTTTAGCAGTACAAACCAGCAGTACTTTTAACGTTAGTTGTGTATCACTTACAGGACGCCGCAGAACCAACCCCAGCATTTTTGGGCTGTTGTTTTTCTAGGCAGATTATAAAAAAAACTGCCACTGAACAGCCGGCTCTTGATACCACTGTCACAACCAACGCAAAGTCGGTCTGTTGTTAAATCGCCAGCATCTGGGATTGAATCCAGAACCTTGGCATTACGAAGTGTGTTCATAATGACTAAATAGCTTGTAGACATTGTGATATTCTTCTATAATTTTCACATTTATATTTGTCACCTTTCTTCGAAATAGGTATAAATGAGGTAATATTTCAGACCTCCAAACTATTTTTATTATTTCATATATCTTTAAATGTAATGCATAACCAACTTCGGCTATCCTCCGAATAACGGCCAAAAACAGGGCATCAGTCACATGTAAATTGCGAACTTCCGGTGACCAAAATTGCGCACTTCGGGCGACTACTGCCACGAGTTTATCCTACGCCGCTACGCACGGTGTGGATTGGGGCTAAACTAGATGGGTGGGAGTCTTGAGCAAAGCTGCAGGAGATGCAGAAGCTGCCGATCATGAGTCCCAACCATCTAGTTTAGCCTCAATCCACGCCGCACGGAGATACTCGGCGGAAGTGGTAGATGCCGGAAGTGCGCAATTTAAGGTCGCCGGAAGTCTGCGATTAACATGTGACTGAGGCCCTGTCAGGGTGTTTTTGTTGCCACCAACTTCTTTTATCAGTTCAGCAGCAATTCTATCAGCACCAGTTTCCTTTTCGTCCTTACACACATATTTACATTTCTATCTTTTCTAACTGTTCCTTTCCTTCATCTTAAAAATTATAACTTCTTCATTTCCACTGATCAGATTTAATTTTCACTTAAGGTCTTTTGCAAAACTTCACTCTAATCACTGTCTACCTGAAAGAAACTCGGTCTCTTGCCAGCCTCATGTACAATATATTTAAGAAGTCACCTATATCCTGTGCCCATTTTTGTGTTGGTTGGCCCCTGCCCCTCCTTCCAGGTACTTTGCCTTCTGTTATTATTTTTTCCAATCCGCCATGGCGCTTGATATGACCAAAATATTTCAGCTTCCAAAACAAGATGCCGTTCCATGATGAGTTTCTGGAGATAGTAATGTGGTAGTTTCCCTTGCTTTCCACACCCACATGGCTTA